GAGCTCGCCGAGAAGAACTTCAGCGGCTTGCCCACCACTGGACCCAACACCCAGGCCTACCAGCTGTCCAAGCAGAAGGCCGACTTCATCGGTTCCGATGTCCGTGTCCGCGACGATAACATCCCCACCGCCAACATCGCCATCGCTGTTGAGGGTGTTAGCTGGAACGACGACGACTACTACACTGCCCTTGTCGCCCAGGCTATCGTCGGCAACTACGACAAGGCCCTTGGCAACGCTCCCCACCAGGGCAGCAAGCTCAGCGGCTTCGTCCACAAGCATGACATCGCCAACAGCTTCATGAGCTTCTCCACCAGCTACAGCGACACCGGGTAAGCCTTGAATCAAACCGGATCAGGGACGTTTGCTAACATGTAATAGTCTCTGGGGTATCTACCTCGTCACCGACAAGCACGACCGCATCGACGACCTAGTCTACTTCGCTCAGCGCGAGTGGATGCGTCTGTCCCGCAACGTCAGTGAGGCCGAGACCGAGCGCGCCAAGGCTCAGCTCAAGGCTTCCATCCTCCTTTCTCTTGATGGCACCACCGCCATCGCCGAGGACATCGGCCGCCAGCTTATCACCACCGGCCGCCGCGCCAGCCCCGCCGAGATCGAGCGCACCATCGATGCCATCACCGAGAAGGATGTTATGGACTTTGCTAGCAGGAAGCTTTGGGACCAGGACATCGCCATCTCTGCTGTTGGAAGCATTGAGGGTCTCTTCGACTACTCCAGGCTCAGGGCCACTATGAAGCCCAAGTACTAAACGGGGATATTGGTGATTTCGGCGATGTTAGGGTATAGAGTGTATGAGATACCGTTACAGGCATAGTGTATCATAAAGACTTCCCTTGTTCATATGTCCGTGACAACCGCAAGCTTGGTACCTGACGACCTAATTTTACTTTGTACTTCTGGAAGCAAGCAGTGTGGGACCATTTGTCTGCTGCCGTCTATGTTACGCAACAACATGCCAAATCTTTCGAGGCAATGGGTGACAACCATGTAAGACTTGGGTTTCTCAACACTTTTTTATTTCAGGCACACACATGCACATAATGTAAGGAGAATAACGGGGACAATGGTGCCCAGATAACCCCTATGACAATATCCTATATACACTCAACAGCTATAGCTGCATGGCTTAGACGTAATACAGCCTTTGCCGGGCTTTTGTAAACAGGTTCTTCGCAGTCTTGGAAAGTCGTACACATGTTCCAAGCGCTGAGTCCACCATTAGGAGCAGTCTGACACCATTCACAATTGCTTCCTTAGGGCTTCCAGCAGTGATTACTGGAAGAACCATAAGAAGCCTTGGAGTAGCGCACCTCGCCAAAAGAAAATCGGCGGGAGGCACGCCCCCCTCAGCACCACTATTATGCTCCGTCTCCAGGATCAAGCTAACGCACATCGCCACTCGAATGCGCAAGTCGGAAACGATGGTCCCAGCCGAACTGTTCCGCTGTCTTGTGACCTGAGTTTTACAGGAACTGATTGAGCACAGATATTACGTATGTACTCCGTAAGGAGACGTCTGATGAGCTCTAGGTTTGAGAAGAAGGGGTTCACACTAGCAAGGTCGAGCCAGAACTGGAGTTGGGGCAGAAACACAGCGGAAGTAACCAAGCGAGCTTTCAACAGCAGCAAGATAAAAGTTAATTTTCCCACTGCATGTTCAATAGTATTTTCGGAGGGCATAGATACATAAATTCATGAGCCCCTTCCTTGCCTTAGCCCCCAATCAATCGACTTTGTTTTCCTTTTTACCCCGATGTGTGTGGCATGTCTTCGCAATCGAACTCTTACTTGCGGTTCATATGGTCGATGCGGATCTCCACGGCTCTGCGGTGGGCCTCGAGTTGCTCCGTCTTGGCGAGCTGCATGACGGCTTCGCCGACGTTGCGCAGGCCCTCGGCCGTCAGGTTGGAGCTGGTGATGTGCTTGACGAAGGATGCGAGGTTGACTCCCGAGTACTGTTTGGCGTATCCGTACGTAGCTGTGGTCTCAATCAGAATTTGTTCAACTATGGATGGAAGGGAGGGGGGGGGGGGGGGGCTGGGCAAATTCAGTTTTGTGAACGTACGCAAAGAGTGATTGACACCGGCAGAGTAGTCACCGACACTTTCGGGCGTCCACTCGCCGATGAAGACAGACCCGGCGTTCATGACCTTCTCCGTCACCCTCTCGGCGTCCTTGACCTGCAGTATCAAGTGTTCAGGAGCATAATCGTTGCTGATGCGCATGGCCTCGTCAACGGTCTTGACCTGGATGGTGACGGAGTGGGCGATGGCGCCGCGGACAATGTCGACGCGGGGAAGGGCCATGGCCTGGCTGTGTAGCTCGTCCTCGATGGCCTGCAGCTGCTGCTCGGTGAGGTCAATGGCGATAAGCACGACCTGGCTGTCGACACCGTGCTCCGCTTGGGACAATAGGTCCGAGGCGACGAAGGCTGGGTTGGCGTCCTTGTCGGCGATGACGAGGACCTCGGAGGGGCCCGCAGGCATATCAATGCTGACACCGGCGTTGGTGTCGTTGCTGACAAACATCTTGGCCGCCGTGACGAACTGGTTACCAGGACCAAGGATCTTGTCCACCTTTGTCACGCTCTCCGTGCCGTAGGCCATGGCGGCGACAGCCTGGGCGCCGCCGGCAAGGACGATGCTCTCGGCGCCGACCTTATGAGCGACATAGACGATCTCCGGGGTGAGGCTACCGTCCGCACGGGGCGGCGAGGCGATGACGATCTTCTGACAACCAGCAACCATGGCGGGAACACCGAGCATGAGGGCTGTAGAGGGGAGGACTGCGGTGCCACCGGGCACGTAAAGGCCAACGCGCTCAATAGGGCGGGAGAAACGGCTGCAGACGACACCGGGCATGGTCTCGACCTGCAAAGGCTTGTCCTCCTTCTGGGCGGCGTGGAACTTGCGGATGTTCTCGAAGGAGATGTCAATAGCCTTAATCGACTCAGGGGACAGCTGCATGGCCTCCTTGGGGAAGGGGGCCTTGAGGACAGGTGAAGTCAGAGACGTGGCCTTCTCGAACTTGTGGGTGTAGGACAGGACGGCCTTATCGCCTCCGTTCCGGACCTCGTCAATGATAGGCTTGACAATGTTCAGGATAGCATCGGGTGATTTTTGTGATGGACGCTTCAGCACCTCGTCGATCTCGGCAGCGGACGACTTGGTCAAGTCGTAGCGGCGCATCGTGATCCTGTCAGACTTATCGTCCTTTGGTGCGGGCGCCGGTGCCGCTGCCGCTGCAGGGGGATGTGCCGAAGAAGGCTTGATACCCTCCTTCTCAGCCCACTTGCCTTTAGCATCTCCCGTTCTCCTCTTCACCTTAAACGACTTGGCATCCAAATTCCTCTCAATATCAGCGAGGCTGACGCCCGCGCTAACAGCCTTGGTAAGCGCAAAGTAAATCAGGTCGGCCGCCTCAAAGGCAACCTCTTGAGGGGTCTTGGCATCGCAAAGCTCTTCCGCCTCCTCCATGATCTTCGCCCGCAGGAGCTTCTCGTCAGAAAAAAGACGGGCGGTGTAGGATCCTGCAGGCGCGGACTTCTTGCGCGACTGTAGCGTCTGCTCAAGTCTGGGGATGCCGTTGAGGTCACCGAAGCAGCCATGCTGGTCCAGGTGGCAGAAGCCCCCCTTCTGCCTGACGACAAACTTCAGCGTGTCATTATCGCAGTCCAGCGCGATACGGACGAGTTCCTGAGTATCTCCGGACGTCGCACCCTTGACCCAGAGGCCGCGCTTGCGGCTCTGGTAGACCCCGGTGCAGGTCCTCAGAGCCTCGCCAACGCTCTCGGCGCTGCTGTACGCAAGGCCCAGCGCGGTGCCGGACTCGTCGCAGACGACGGTGGGGATGAGGCCGTCGGGCCTGTCCGATTTCCAAAATGAGGAAATGAGCTTGGACAGTGACAGCTTCTTGGGCTCCTCTTTGCTGGCCGTCAAGCCGTCAGACGGCAGTACGGGGATGGCACTGCACTGCTTGGCAATGTCGACAAAGTGGTCGAGATTGCTCTCGGGCACGGGCTTGATGAATAAGTTGGGCAGCTTCTCGACCTTACAGCGCTCAATGAAGGAGCCCAGGTCGCATGTGGTCGAGTCAAAGTCTTTGACGAGGACGGCGTGCTTGGAGGCAGGCTTAGTTGTGACGTCGGCCGTGGAGAGGACGGAGCCCACACGGGAGCCGAACTCTTCGTACTGGGCAAGGTTCTCTGGGGAAACGAAGACCATACGGGCACCTGCGTCGAGCAGAGAGACAACATCGTCGCGCGACGAGATGCGGGTGACGTCGAAGTATCCGCGGAACTCTGCGTTGTGCTGCTTCAGGAAGTTATGGAACTTTTCCAGGGTCTGGTCGTTGGCCTCAAAGAAGGGGGCCCCGAGGATCGAGACCTGCTCCCGGTCAAGGCCGTCCAGCTTGGACAAGCCGGGCGGGACAGCCACGCTGATAAGAAAGGGGAAAGGTAGTGTCGTTTCCATGGCCGCTTGTCCTGTGGATTGGTCTGTATGTGTGTATGAGTGAGTTGAGGGATATCTTCTCCTTTCTTCCCTTGTTCTCTCTCACATCCACGATAAATAGAATGGGCCAACTTGGTATATATGGGAGAAGATATGAGACAGTCCTACGAGGGAAGCAAGTTGTCTTGGAAGCCAATTGAAGAAAGTGGAATGTCACTTCTTTATCGAGATAAACAGCCCCTTGTGAGTCAAGTGTCAGGGAAGAAGAGCACCGCCACTCAAAAGTAAAAAAAAATCTACATAGTGTGACACCACCACTTTACCATGTCCTGCATCGGCGGGTGTTGAGGTGGGGCAAAGCAAACGTTGCCCCTCCATGCAGGTTTTGGAGGTCATCCAATCCACGCCTTACCTATTTGCCCGCCCGAGACCCTTGTTCCATGTATAATTAAGCTGTGGTCCGAGCGGCGGTAGATTACCGGACCGGATCAATACAACTGCCGTACAGAATCGCGAGACTTGAAGGAGGAAATGGCTAACGCGCCTCGTGGGTTGGTAGCTCTTTCCGCGACCCGATCACGAATACTCAGATACCCACTACGACAAAGGTGCTGCTTTCCGCCTTTCTCACGAAATACCGTTGCTAATAGGCTGAGTAATCTCCATTAGCGCCAATTCTCGGTTCTTTGCACCAGGCCTAGCTGGCACTGTCGCATGAACCATCGTCCTTCGACCATCGTGCTTCAACCATCTCCAAACCAGTCGCAACGAGGATATGCTATCCTCCCACCAACTTGATACACGATAATTCTTATACCAAATTGACTGCTGTCGAAGCAGCCTAGCGCCAATCGCTACGATGGCTTCGCAGACTTCGGATCCGCAAATAAACGGCGTGCCTTCCTCCTCAGCCGGCGCCTCCACCTCACAGACAGTCCCCAACACCCAAGTGACCGCCGCGGCGTCGGCAACAGGCTCGCAACCCCCGTCCCAGTCACAGCCGACCCAATCCTCATCTACCCAACAAGCGTCACAACAAGCACAGCTGCAGAATTCGCAACAGCAAAACAGCTCACAGCAGCAGTCAACACCCCTCAACCCCAACGCCTCGGCCCCGCGGCCCCGCGATGCCCGCATGATCGAACTTCTCCTCACTTCCCAGGGCGTCACATCCTACGAGTCGCGCGTACCCCTGCTCCTCCTCGACTTCGCCTACCGCCACACCTCGAGCATTCTCTCCGATGCCATATACCTATCGGCGGACCCCTACACCTCGCAGGCCGGCTCCAAGGCGTCCGCCTCGGGCTCTGGCGCCGGCGCGATCCCTGGCGCTGGGGGCGATGCGGCCGTCAGCGCAAACGCCGTGAAGCTCGCCATCGCCGCGCGCTTAGGCTACCAGTTCCGCGGGGGCGGCGGCGCGGGCGGCGTGTCCAAGGACTGGCTGCAAGAGCTCGCGCGCGAGCGCAACAAGACGGCGCTGCCCAAGGTTGCCCAGAACGAGTGGGGTCTCCGGCTGCCCAGCGAGCGCTTCGTGCTGAGCGGTGTTAGCTGGGGGCTTAAAGATGTATGGGAGGAGGCGGGCATCGATGAGGACGAGGACGAGGACAGCGAGGACGGCGCCGCCGCGGCTGGTGGTGACAGTGCCATGGAGGGCGTGGAGGCGACGAACGCGACGGCCGATGAGGACATTGGCGGTGACGGCGTTGAAGGCGGCACGATGGAGGACGTGTTCGGCAAGGACGTTGACGAGGACGCAGAGATGGAGGGCACGTCTTAGAAGGGCAGTGCTACGTCCATATACCGTTCGGGGCCCATGGTCCAGCGGAAGTGGTGGTAGTAAGGTGGGTAGAGGCCGTCTAGCTGTGCTTGAGCTAGAAAATGTATCATCTGCGGCCATCCAAGAACAAGTGGGGAAAGGGAAAGGAAGGACGTTCCGGAGTTTTTTATTCAGGGAGGTTCACGGGAACGAACTCTTTGGTCTTCTCTAGTTTGGCTGATGAGCCGTGAGGCCCACCAAGCCATCGATTTGGCCAAACCTCTACAAACTTCGCAATGAAGTACAATCGGAAATACCATTGAGATGTTTCGCAAGTACAGGGGCCTCACATAATCTAGAGTTGAGTCATGTAATGTCTCTATTACAAGGCCACTACAATATGAAGCACCAATTCCAAACGCCTGTCGCTATGTAACATAACATTTCCTGTGGCTCCCCCCTTTGAAATACAAGCAGCCGCCATTGATGCTCGTATGCCCCCAACCAACTCTATAGCCCCCGGTACAACAAGAGAAGCGCATCAACACGGAATATTAGTTCGAACCTGCTTGAGCATTAGGATTGTAAACCGCAGCCTGTTCCTCCTTTTAGCACACTACTTCTGCACACCTTTTGCAAGGGTGAGATGATTTACCCCAGTGATGAGCTCAGCCCCGACGTCTTCCATGAGCACACTCTGCGCAGGTGCGGAAGACTGCATTTCCTTGTCGCTGGGCTGAGGAGTCCGCTCGCGTTGGGTTCGCACGTCGAGGTCGGCACCGTTGTACTCGTCGTCTTCATCGTCTTCCTCTTCGGCGTCCTCGTCGTCGGCGTCATCATCCTCCACGATGGAAGCTGCAAGTGGGTCCTCGCCATCGATGCTGCCACTGAGAATGCTTTCGCGTTCGTCACCGTAGTCATCAATCGAGTCTCGCGAAATATAGCTCTGGCCCATCTCGTCTCCGATCTCTTCATCGTCGTCGATGTCTTCCTCAAGGTCGGCCTGTTCACCATCGTCATCTGTGTCGCTTGCAGAAAATTCGTCCAAATCCAACGGAGTGTCTCTCCAGTACGTGAAGTCCGTATACTCCTCTCCGCCACCCTTGACCAAAGTGCTCACCGGCGGGAAGAAGTGGTCGACAACCTCGTTGATGTTGATGTAACTCAACTTGAGCTTATTTAAGCTGAGCAGGTCAAGAGAGACCTCTGCGTTGGAGTTGATGGTAAAGATGCGGTTCCTTGGAACATCTACCGTCCTGTATGAAATCTGGTCCGTCAGGCGGTTTCCGAATCCGGCATAGAACGGTGTCCGATTCAGCCCGTACAAATGCCGGATGTCGCGGAGGGTGGCCATCTTGAATACGTGAGGTTTTCTAAGGTAAACCTCGCGACGGAGGGCAGCCATGGTTCTGTCCGGGGACAAAATTGTAGGTCCTCGCGGCAGCCGATATTGCCCTTGCTGAATGCCAGCCAAGTATGCCCGTGTGGTGTCGGACTGCCCCACTGATCGACTGGTCAGGTACATGATGTTGTAACCGTTTGCGACGATGTCGCTGTAAAGTTTGGCTACACCTGCGTGCGTCCAATCACGGCCAATCATGTTGAGAACGTGGCCAAGGGCATCCGACTTGGTGATGGTGCCGTCAATGTCAGAAATAACCACGGGAGTTTCGTGTTTCCACAAGTACATGTTGGCCTGACACGTCGCCCTATTTACGGTGAAACTCATGGTGTTCTCTCCAGGCTTCAGGCACAATGCTTTCAGCTGATCACTAGTAAGCCGCAGCGTCTTGGCGTAGTTCAGGTTCGGGTCTCCGGCCGTCGACTGGGGAGGAGTGCTGGGAGGAGTCTGCAGGCCAGGAGCTCCAGCATCCGACTCGGTCCGCCTGTGAATTGGCGAGGGCGCAGTGGTCGTAATATCACTGCCGTCGCTCTGGTACCCAGGATCCGATGCAGCATCCGCCGCGATGACAGTATTGGGGCGGTAGCCCACCTCCATCGTCTTCTTCTTGGCTGCCTCCTTGGCCTCTTCACTGCTGTAAATCCAGATGTTTCCATGCTCATCCATGCCAAAAAGCGAACCGATGTCGTAAGGACCCTCGAGCTCCTCGGACAGGATTTTTCGGGCGAGGATCTCGGCGCGGAACACATCTTCCTCGTTGCTTTTGAATCCAGTCATGTCCAACATCAAGTCGCCGCTTTCTGTGACATGGCTAGGAATGTTGTTGGCCGAGAGCTCCTTGGAAAGCATGATCGCCCGTTCAAGCGCTTCCTTTGGCGCAAGGGGAGGTGGACTCTGAGATCTCTCAGACGTGGCAAAATCGGCCATGTCTTCACCATAACCACGCTCGCTCGCACGGGCCGACTTACGAAGCATATCGTCACTGTAAGGGCGCTGAGTAGCCGCCCCCCACTCTTCTGATCTCATTCGTGAGTGGGAGATGTCCGGCGAAGTTGAAAGAGGAGTGTTGAATCCTGCGATGGTTAGCGCCGTTGATCCAGACAGGGCATCCAAAGGGTGTGTTAGGAACATACCATGGGTTCCAAAAGTTGCGCTATGGATGACCGAGGGAGGCGGACGACGGGGTTTTGCGGACTCGGAGTCCAGGTCAAGCAATTCTGGTTCACCAAGACTGGGCGAAGAAGGATTCTCCGGATTTAAAGGAGGGCTGGATGCCGGAGAGACCAGCGGGGAGGTTTGTAGGTCTCTCGGAATGGTATCACTGGTCTCGAAAACGAAAAAGGCCTCGCCCTCCTCGCCAAGCTTCATGGAGTAGTCCTGCTTGACACCATTGACCTTGAACTCGACCTTCTTCTCGTAGGGCCGAAGGAGTGAGAATTTGCCAAAGCGTACGTGGAAGGGCGAGCATGCGAGGGTTCCGTCCTCTTGTTCGACGACGATGACATCGATGGCGCCACTAAGGGTGGCCGGGTTGATCGAGTTCCATGTCGAGGAGACGGATGCGCTGATGTTTCGAACGTATTGCATGGTGAGCGAGGGTCTCGGTCGTTTGCGACGGGCTGGAGCGCGAGAGTCTTCCGAGGGGATAGTCTGGAGTTGGGGAGAGAATCGACAGCAAAGGGCTTCCCAGGACGAGACGATGCGGCGACTTCTCGAACCCGAGGAAGGCCGGTAGTCGGAAGCTCAAGTTAAACTGTGCGGCGACGACAAGTGCGGAGCGGAGTGTAAGCTAATTGTTGGGGAAGGTCGTGTGGAATTATTATTGGGACGCAGGGTACGAGGGTGGGAGCGGGAGGGGTGGTGGGAATTTGCGAGGGTGAGCAAGTGAGTCGAGAGAAGCCGACTGGTGAGTTCGAGAGGCGCGCGCGCAGAGCAAGGGAGCGGGACGATCAGCGCAACAACGCATGTACTTGATGGGATATGCTCTGAGAAAGAGAGAGAGACAGAGACAGAGAGAGAGAGAATATCACGGACGGAAAGGATGGTGTAAAGGGTGCAAAGTTGGGAAAGAATAGATAGATACACCGAATCACGATCAAAATTTGGGTATCGCGGGGTCGGGGGCCCGTGGCTGAAGAGGAGGAAAAAGTAACAGCCAAAAGGTTCGTTCGAGCAACCTTCTCCTCAGTAGATATGTGCGCGACGGTGGAAGGTGGATGGTACAAATATGACGAAGCTGAATCCTTTTTGGGGGGAAGACAAGCAGCTGAGAGGAACCGCGGCGGCGGCGGCGATGAGCCATGATGGGAGCGAAGTACGTACGGGAGGGAAGTAGCACGCCTGAAGGGCCTAGCGCATACAGGACAGGGGGTCGAGCATAGGTAGGTACCTACCCTTGCTTGTTGGTCAACCGCCAGCCCAACAAGCTAGGTAGGTACTTACGGCAGGCCAAGGTCGTCCATGACCCGGTACCTACCGCAATGTAAACACTACACCGGATCATGTGAAGGTGGACATCCGTTTCCGCCCCAGCGAAAACCAGCCCGCCCAAGAGAAAAAAGAGCAGCCCCAGGTCCCCCCAATGGAAATAAAAAGAAGGGGGAAGGCCCCCCTGGGCCGCATCAGAGACGCCATGCCCACCCATACTTGTCCGGCCCATAGCCGTAAGAGGAGAAAAATACGCTAGGAGGGCCAATGCCGACATTAGGGGGCCACGGCCCAAAGGTTCTGAGCTGGCCTGGCATCTGTGGCAAGGGAAAAGGCCCCCTGGCAAGCTTTGCATGCGTTAGACCATCGGCCGAGGCTTTGGTCCGGTGCTTGCGATGGGCTTTGGAATGCAGAAGAAATGGGAGAGTTTCATAGACACTTTTTTCCTAATTTAACATTTTGTCTTATTCTGTGGCTTAAGCCACTGTCCGTTCCATTTGATTCCTATGGAATTTCAATCCATCAATTGGGTTCAGCCTTGGGAGCCCAGACGGACGTCAACCAAAGCCAAGTACGGAGTAACTAAGTAGTCTGTTGTCATGTTGTCGTATTTCGTCCCATTTCTAGAACCCCCACCTATCGGCTTTCACGCAACTCAACCGAACTCGGTCTCCCCAGCCTCTTTTGTTGCGCTGCTGCCTGTCACTGTTGCGCCCTCTATAGTGAGTGTGCCTCCTAATACGTGATGCGCATTGCGATCAAGGGGTGTATTCTGCACTTGGTAAATACGACACCCCACAGCTCGAAACCCTCCTAAAATGTTCAGTCGGCTGACTCGTTTTGTGTCATTGAAGGTACTCGTGACACCGCATGACTCCTGTTGCAGCGCAGCCAGGGTTGTAAATTAGTATACTTAAGTCTAGTATTGGCCTATACTAATACTAATAGTATTTTTGAGCCTATACTAATACTAGGCTAGTCTAGTATAGGGGTATACTAATACTAGGCTAGTTTAGTATTAGTATACTTAAGTATACTAATTAGTAAGTAAAAATAAGTAAAAATAAATAAAAATAAATAAAAATAATAAATTAATATTTTAAGTAAATAATTACTATTTTTAACTACTTTAGTAAGTAAAACTTCTTGCTTACTAATCTAGTATCTTAGTAATAATTAACTTAATACTTAAAAACTAGTATAAATTATAAATTAATTATAATTATAAAGTAAAAAAAGTAAAAAAATACTATAAAAAGTATTAATAGTATATATATATTTATACTAGTATATATATACTTTTATATATAGTATATTAATAACTAAAAATATATTATCTATATTTTTATTTATTTTTATTTATTTTTATATACTAATTAGTATACTTAAGTATACCTAAGTAATACTAATACTAACAAAGGCTATACTAATACTTACTAATACTAAGGTTAGTATAGTTTTCTTATACTAATACTAAGTATACTTAAGTCTAGTATTAGTATACTAAATACTAGTAGTATTTTTTACAACCCTGAGCGCAGCCCTGCTGCCGTTTGTCGTCACTGCTGCTTCCCTTCCCCGA